CTAACGAAACCAGGCAGGAAAACAGCTCAGGATGGAGTGAGCACATACAGTGAGCCAAGGATCTGCCTTCAAGCAGAGCACTCGAAGCAATGATGTTTTGTAGTAAAATGCTATATCTTGGTGTTATATATACAGGGGCTGTATATCAATTTTATAAAAGCTGCATGACATTGCATTCTGCACGATTGAAAGCTGAGGGTGAAGCTGAGTGATACCAGTGGATTAGCAAATAACCTTACAGCATGACCTGATATCCCACATCATTTCCCACAAAACCATGCCCAAAGCAGCTTTCAGATAAATAAGTGCAGCAAAGGCAATTCTTCAGAGTTGGTGACAACTGCAGAAAAAGTTAACCAACATCTGCATTTTAATTTGCAGCAGAAACTCAGCAGGGATCGGCAGCATCAGTGGAGAGAGAGATAATATTTCTGCTCCAGTAAGACTTCTTCAGAAAGGTTCACTCTGCTTCTCTCTCCACAGATGCTGCCAGACCTGCAAGTTTTTTTCACCATTGACTATTTTTATTTCAGATTCTCAGCATCCACAGTAATTTGCTTTTATTACGAACAATAATGTGAGCCTGGTATCTCTGGCTGATAGCACAACGTGCAAAATGGCAAGGCAAGACAATGCAAGGGTATTGTGTGCATCCAGGTGGGTGCAGAATGAGGGAGCGCTATGATAGTGAGTGAAGAGCCTTGTGATGCAGCCTGGTCCAGTCCCTGAGCGGATGCATCTCCCTGGCCATGCAGTGTCCTTGCTGCAGCATTAACATGGTAGCTCCCAATGCAGCCAAGGTACAGCATTGGAGTGTGGAAGTGACTTGTAAGTGAATTGGAGATGTGCCATGAAGGTTTTTAGAGGCTGGCATTTAACAGATGCCAATGTCCGTGTGTGCGAATCATGTGGTCAGTGCCCATGCAGTGAGCCTTCAGATGTTGGTGCCTGGTATTCAACATGGTGGTCATTTGGAGCGAGCAGTGAGATGAGTCTGTCAGGTACTTGCTCTGGTTTCCATGTCAAGTCTTGCTTGTTTGTCAAGTTTGGTAAGATGAGACACTGGCAATTAGTAAAGTGATTTTTGGTCACGGCCGAGCAAAAATCATGCTATTTATGAAACTCATAAAAGATTGAGTGAGATGATCTTGATGTAAAAAAAAGAACCGTGAATACTGGAAATCAGTAAACAGAATTTGCAGGAAAAGCTCAGCAGGTCTGGCAGCATCTGTGGAGAGAAAGCAGAGTTAATGTTTCGCGTCCAGTGACCTTTCTTCAGAACTGATTGTAGCCAGTCCAACTGTTGTTCTCTCTCTCAGGGCTTTGTCTCCACCTATCATTTACTCCTCCTCCCCCCACTACCCACTCCCTGCCAACTCCATCTTCAACATATGTCTCAAACTTTTCCTAGCTACAATCAGTCACTGGACCTGAAACGTTAAATCTGCTTTCTCTCTTCACAAGATAGTGCCAGACCTGCTGAGTTTTCCCAGCAATTTTTGTTTGTGTTTCTGATCTTGATGTCAAGATGGACTTTTGCCTCATTCTGTCATACATCTCACCACAACTCATGTCACTCAGATCCCTATAAGTTTCCATCCATTGGTAGTGTTTTGAGTCCACCGTGACTCAAGGCTTCGAGTTGGACGAAGAGTTGGATAACTTTATGCAATTTTATTCCCCAGATTACTACAAAGATATAAAGGTAACAGACAAGAGCCCAGACTATCTGGGGTATGGCCTCAGCTGAGGAATTACAGCATGAGGAAAGTCTCAAAAAATTGGAGCTGTTTTCAAAACTAAGACGACTACTGGGTGATTGATCAAACTAGTGAAGATTGCGAAGGGATGTGAGATTGTAGATGGAAACAGGTTACTTGTCATGGTTGAGGGTGAGTGGAGCAAAGGGAATGGGACAGAGGAATAAATGAGAAATAAATAAATGAGATTACAGAGAGCAAAAGGTGTGTTTGCTGCAGGGTGTGAAATAAGCTGTTGATTGAAGCAGAGGTGTTTGAAGGGAATGAATGGATGGGCAAACTGTTGTGCGGAGAAGTGTGGAATTAAGAAAACTGTTCATGGAGTTGGCCAACACCAATGTAGGCTGGTTTGGCTCAGGGTTCGCTTCCATCTTGTGATTTCAATGTAGTTATTCATTTGGTGAATTTCTGCCTGCCTCTTTAATGCGTGCGTTCCGGATTCGCTCTATGCTTTCTTCAAGTTCATGGCAAGTTCCTTCGCAAGATTCCCGGCTCGTTCCACACTCCTGACTCAATAGCTCTGTGTTTCAGAGTTAGAGGTAGTTCAAACAGAGAATTGTTATGTCATAATCTATAAACCTATCAGCAGCCTATTCCTGCCTTTTTTTTGTGATTAGTTTATAGGACTCCAGAGACCCGATAACCATTAAGGAAGCATTTATTTCAATATAATGGCTTGTCTTTGACCAGTAAAAACATCGAGGAGAATTCTCTCCTCTCCTCATTATACTCCAGCCTGTCTTGCTGCTGATGCACAATCATGCAGCACTGCCAGATCATTAGGGGCAAAGTTAAGAAATCTGCCTGAAGGGACACAGACAAGCTCCGGGCAAGAGGAGACAATAGAAGAGGAACAAGTTGCTAATTTATTAGGTTTGAATGTGTCATCTTATTTTAAGTGCCCATATCAGAAATCCTGTCACTGCACTCAATTTCGTACAGGCTCTAACTGCCACTGCCAATGACTGCCACTACCCAAATTGATTTTTAAACCTCATGTTTTGTATTAAATGCTACCATGGTGGGTGGCAGGGTGGCTCAGCATTGCTGCCTCATAGTGCCAGGGACCCAGGTTCAATACCAGCCTTGGGCAACCGTCTGTGTGGAGTTTGCAAGTTCTCCCTGTGTCCATGTGGGTTTCCTCCCATAGTCCAAAGATGCGCAGATTAGGTGGATTAGCCATTGAAAATGGCCCGTAGTATCCGGGGATGTGCAGGCTAGGTGGATTGGCCATTGAAAAATGCAGGGTTACAGGAATTGCGTGGGACGGTCTTCAGCGGGCCAGTGTGGACTTGATGGGCTGAATGGCCTGCTTCCACAATACAGAGATTCTATGATCCTAACCTACAGGCACTACTGTCGCAGCCAAATCCATCTCAAGGTTGAATGTTAAAGAAGGTGAAGGCTATTTCACTTTATGATGGACGGAGATTTTGAAGATTACATGTTAGCCTGAGCTCTCTCCATATTCCTTATTCATGAACCTTCTAAGTGCTGGGCTGTCTAGCCTTTACATGGAAAGCAGTTTTTATTCTTACGTACACTATCTGTTCAATCTTGTGTAAAATGCATGGAATTATTTTGGCTGCGGGGACACAGTTGAGGACTTGGGTAATCAGTTAATGTTCCAATGGCAGATACTGAACAACTTTGCTTTCACGGTTCACTATTATCTCTGAGGTTACTGGGGTTAATGCAGCAAATTGAAGGCCAAAGTCCTGTTGACATTGATCAAATACACATGGAAAAACAATGGAATCTCTGAAACATATTACAACACAGAAACACCTTGAAGCTGTGTCGTTAACTCCCAGAAAACCACAATCATAAGAATCCTGGAATCATCCAGATTATTTTGGCTATATAGCACTTATGGCACAGTCATTCAAAATAAATCAATGAATCAAGAGTGAAATTAATAATGATCATGAGAGTATAAGATAGCCATAAAAATAACTCCTCAGGTTCACTTTAGGGAGGGAAATCTACCATCTGTACCTGCTCTGGCCTAATTAAATGATTGATATTTAACTGATGTCAAAATCTGGAATGTCCCGAGATAATGTTAGGTTCTATACAAATGCAAGTTATTTCTCTAATATGAATTACTTTGTTAATAAGGTGGAGGAGTCCACTCTATTCCAGGGAATTCAGGGATGAGTAACAAAGGCTGGCCAGGGACTCCAACTTCCTTTGAAAGGAAAAAGAAATAAAGAACTGGTAACCTGACCGAGCTGGCCTGCACGTGACTCCAGGCCCACAGTGATGTGGTTGTTTTATTAACTGGCCTCCACAGTGACCAGCCGCTCCATTATACATGTGACTACCACCCCTTGCTCAAGGGCCATCTATCCCATTTTAGGATGAGCAGTAAATGCTTGCCTTTCCAGTGACACCCTCATCTGCATGCTGGTTTGGTGGTCAGCACTGCTGCCTCAAAGCGCCACGGTTCAATTCCACCCTCAGGTGACTGTGTGGAGTTTGCACATTCTCCCTGTGTCTGCGTGGGTTTCCTCCGGGTGCTCCGGTTACCTCCCACAGTCCAAAGGTGTGCAGGTTAGGTGGATTGGCCACGGGAGATGCAGGGATAAGGTGGGGGGTGGGCGTGTTGTGGGTTTGTTTGGGATGCTCTTTGGAAGGTTGGTATGGGCTGAATGGCCTGCTTCCACACCGTAGAGATTCTAAGACGGGATTTTTCTTAAAAATGCATCCCGAGAGCATTGACAACACTGACAGCTCACTGATGGGTCGCTCTACAGAGTAGAAGTAAGTGGGGGTCGCAGTTTTGTGACTCCTTACTTGGTGGGGATTTAAACACGAGGGAGGGAAAGAAACAGATGGTGTGTCTCCTTTGGCCATTTGTGAGCAATCACCGGCATTAACAATGATCGTAAGGGTAATTCAATTCCTTACTGTCTCACCTGGGGAATTAGAATGAAAGTGATGAGAAAACGGCTATTATAAATTGTGGATATATATATTTTTCCACTTCTAATTGAGTTTTGATGAACCACAGCTGGCATATCTGACAGAATATCATTTACTTGAGAAAATAAGCTTCAACATTGTAAATTGAAGCCTACACCATGATAGAGGTAGAGTAGGGAGTTATATTTAGTTCTGATCAACAGATTGTTTTCATTATTAAGTTGAATATTTCATAAAGTTTATAAATGTAAATCTGATGCCCACTTGTTCTGAGCTGAAAGCCAAATAACATGACTTTTTCTATCCCTCCAGAGGATATATTTGTACAACAGACTCAGGATGCCAAGAATCCAATTATCTACGCAGTGTTCTCTGCCTCAGGGTAAGTAAAATGGGGTTCGGTCCGGGAACGGGGACAAAGACACTGATCAGCAGGAAAATAAGGAATTTCTTCTTCAAACATGACCTTACTCTGTAATCATACCCGTCCGAAGAAATTACTCATTTTCACTTCCCATTTCCCCAGTTCAATAGAAGTGTTGGACTCAAAAAGAATTGTTTGGGTTCAGGAATCTTCATGGATATGCTTCAAGATCGAGTTGGTTAGAACAACATTCCCTCACCACTGGGACCTGAGTCTTAACTCATTGTGTTTCTTCATGTTTTGATGAAATAAGACACTTTCTTCCAACGTTCTTTCTGCCTGTTGTTAAGCAAGTTCATACCAAATCACAATCCAGCAGCAATTGTCCACTTGCTGTTGTTAGTATACAGTCTTAGACTCTCGGCAAACAGCTCTACTTAAGGTGGTGTAGTGGTAACATCATTAGTAAGCCAGAGGCCTATGCTTCTGTGTTTGGGGAAATGGGTTCAAATCCCATCGATGCAGGTAATGGCTGGCAGCCAGCACTGTTGTGGTGGGCCAATTGGCCTTTAGCTGTGCTGAAAATGCTTGTGGCTCTACACTGGTCCATTATTGAAAGTGAAAGAAGCTGGACTGTTCACAGTTAGGCCCTCAGTAGGGGCTTATGCCAGGCAAACAGGCTGCAGGTGAATTCTACCATTGTGCCACATCATTGCTAGTGTCAGCGCGCAGTGGGAGCACCCGATCTCAACTTAGAACTGGCATCAAAATGGAAAATACGCGACGAACAGATGCAAACGGCAGATTAAAAGAAGTAATCAGTGCTATGTTTAACGTGAACCATGAACAGCAGCTACAGACATGATGGGCCAAATGGCCTCCTCCTGCACCATAATAATCCTGTGATTCCATGCACAGCCTTCCAAGAATCACAGCAAGCCCTTAGCTGATGCTCAGATGAACTGAAGTCCTCTTTATTTCTAAGGGCTTTGCCTTTGAGGTGTGACTGTGCAGCATTAATATCCTGATATATTGATAGAAAGGTCTTTTCTTCATTGTTATAGCAGAGGGGTTAACCCAACAAGTGTCATTTCATGGTCGTTACTGTTGCTTTAAAAGCCAGGAATTGTTCTCCTTGCTAACGGGAAGTTCCTGTTCCTTGCTGACAGGTCGGTCTTTAAAGGATCTGCTGTGTGTGTCTATTCAATGACTGATATCCGCACCGTCTTTAATGGGCCCTTCGCACACAAAGAGGGGCCTAATTACCAGTGGATGCCTTTCACAGGGAAGATACCGTATCCCAGGCCTGGCACTGTGAGTAGCTGCTCTTGCTAACAAGTCTTTTTCTTCAGCTTCAATCTTTAAGAGGATCTCCAAATCTGATGCTCAACACTCTCAGATTTACATGCACGAGAATTCATGGTATGAGCTCCATTTCCCAGAGGCACAATCGAACACCCGCCCCAGGGCCTGCAGCCTCATTGTCATTCCTCATTCATTCAAAAGTCATGCCCACTGCTCTTTCACTGGTGAAGAGCATCCCCCTGCCCTCTTTAGTTTCAAGACATTTTTTTTCTCTCCCTTTCAGGCTGCCATGTGTCATCAAGGATAGTTTGAGCAAATGAGACTGTACCGCATGAAACAGCAAAGGCTAATAGCAGTCATTAAGGACTTGGCTTGTACGTCTCTCTGACTGACTCCTTGTTCTAAACTCTTGCTCAGTCATTATGGAGCATCAACCAGATCATTTGAGCTTCAAAGGTGACTCCATTGGTGGGTGCAGCACCTTTAAGAATATTTACCCAAGATGAATGGGTTTGGACAGTCATTTGCACCACACATAATCAGTATTGGTGTTTTCCCAGGACAGGGCGTATCCAGATCAATGCTCAGGCCAAACTGTTGCAGTTAATGGAGCTATTCTGGACACCTCCCATGTCAATGATGTCATGGGAACAGTCAGGCTCCTTCTGCTGAAGGGAAAACCAGGACAGAATATTCCTAGGGACTTCCATATCAGTGAATAGGTGAATGGAGAGAGTTGGCCTTCCAATTCTCAGAGAAATTAGTTTAAACTGACATCACCACAACCCCTCCCCCACCCCTCCCGCAACAACCAATGAATGTTGAGACTCCAGCACAGACTGAGCTGCACTGCCAGGCAGATAGATACAGCACGCTTTACGAGGCTGGAATTCAGGTGCTATGTAATGGAAGCTGCACAATGTGTCTATCAGCCGCCACATTTGACATGGAAACATGTGATGTTGTAAACATGGGCCAGAAAAAGAGTGCCTCGATGCCAATTGCAACCAGCAATGCCCTTCTGCCCACCTCCTCCACCTTACTAACAAAGTAATTCACGTTAGAGAAATGACTTGCATTTGTACAGAGCCTAGCATTATCTCAGGATGTTCCAGATTTTGAAAAGTGCTCGTTGGTGTAATGCAGGCAGTGCGGCTGTTGCAAACTTTCACAAACAGCAACGTGTTAATGGCCAAAAAAATCTGTGTCGTTGCTTACACTAAGGTGTAAACATTAGACAGCACATTGCAGAGAGCACTCGGGCTCATCTTCAAAGCGTCACTATCGCCTACACTGTGGCCAGTGCGTCAAATGAAATAAATTGCATTATTGCAAAATGAAACACTGCTGTAGAAGGAACTTTCTTTTCAAATATCTCTTGTAGTGTCCCGGTGGTACGTTTACTCCTTCGATGAAATCCACAAAGGATTACCCGGACGAAGTGATCAACTTCATGAGGAACCATCCCAGCATGTACAATGCCATCTACCCAGTGCACAAGCGCCCTCTGGTGGTCAGAACCAATGTGGATTATGAATTCACCACCATCACAGTGGACCAGGTGGATGCAGCAGATGGACGGTATGAAGTCCTATTCCTCGGAACAGGTAAAGGAGTCTGTTTAGGAAATTAACACCTTCTTGCCCAAAATGGCGTTGCAATGGGCATTACAGGGAACTGAGAGGGTGCTGTGTTGAAGCTGACACGATGAAGTTTGCCACAAATACAATAAATTTGAAAAGGGTCAATCAGAACGAACTCTTTCCTTGGAAAAGGAAGAGGCAGAATCAAAATTAGACCTAGTTCAATCAGATAAGGGTGGTGGCAGCAAACACGTCTTCACACCAGGAGCAGTGCAAATCTGCAGTTATCTCCCTTCGAAATCAGTTAAAGATTGGGAATGAATCGATGAAAAGAAGGCTTTGAAAAATGAATGGAAATGTTGGCTGGGGCGGAAGATGACTTCAGTTTTTAGGCTTCTGTTGAATTTTTAAAATCTGTTCTTGGCTTTGTGCGCAACACTGGCAAGGGCCCATTTGATTCCCATGCCTATTTACCCGGGTGACCTGAGCTCCCACTTACCGGCACAGTCCCTGTTTTTCACTAAAACGTCCTGGTTTTCCAAGCATTTCCTCAGAATAGTTCACATGACCTGGGTTTCAGTTTTCCCGTTTATTCTGCAAGAGCAAATCAACTTAAGATTTGCGCAGAGATAGTAAGAACTGCCGATGCTGGAGTCAGAGAT